AGCATGTTTTTGGGTCCTAGACTACCCGGACTTAAATATAATAGTAGCTACGCACGGACTCTCATCACCTCGTGCGTACACAGCCCCCACAAATATAAGCACAAATCCAATTAATTCACCTATGGGGATAATTCCCTCTTACAAGGTTAGAAAGGAGACTCACCCCGCTCTGAAGTTCAATAACCAGCTTCCAAGCCCTTCTGATGACTCAAACTGATGCCCCAACGCTCCAAAACTAGCCAAATAACGGGCAAACCAATGAAAATACACCCTAATATTCATAACAATTCAACTTATATAAAATCCCAACTCCACTCGAAAAGTTGACAAAATTGCCCTCGGGCCCACGTGTCCGGATTCCGAAATTTTTCGAAGATAAAGTTTACCCATAACCTCACGAACTCAAATATATAATTTACTCTCAATTTCATGTCCAAAATCATGGTCAAAATCCAAGAATACTAATTTTTTAGGTTTTCCCTCAAACCCCAAGTTTTCCACAAATTTTCATGTTCAAATCCATATACAATCATGTATTTAACTCAAAACTAAGCTTGGTGGTGAAAATGACACCTCAAAGTTGCTCCCAAAATTGGCTCCAATGGAAGAAATGAACCTAACCCCCGATTTAAAAGAACCTCACTGCCTCCAGCATTTTCGCACTTGCGGTCATTTGACTGCTTCTGCAGTTGCGCAGGTGCGACCCACTAACCGCTTCTGCAGTCTTCCTCCATGACCCCAACTTCTGCATCTGCGTCCTTCCTTCCATAGGTGCGGTCCCGCTTCTGCGGCAAGATGACCGCATCTACGGTCCCAGCCTAGCCCAGCCACTTCCGCTTCTGCGGCACCTAGGTTGCTCCTGCGGCCAAAACCTCGCAGGTGCGGTTACACTAGATACGAGTTGCTTAAGTCCTTCAAATTCCAAATTTGATCAGTTAACTATCCGGAATCCACCCGAGGCCCCCGGGACCCCAACCAATCATACCAACCAGTCCCATAACATAATGCGGACTTGCTTGAGGTCTCAAATTATATCAAACAACGCTAAAATCATGAATCGACCTCCAATCCAAGCTTAATGAACTTTAGAGTTTCAAACTTCTACATTTGATGCCGAAATCTATCAAATACCGTCCGATTGACCCAAAATTTTGCACACAAGTCATATTTGACATTACGGACCTACTCCAACTTCTGAAATTGGAATCCGACCCCGATATCAAAAAGTCCACTTCCGGTCAAACTTCTCAAAACCTTCAAACTCTATCTTTAGCCAAATGGCTCCAAAACGACCTACAGACCTCTGAATTCACTTCCAATCGCACTCCCAATACTAGAATCACCATACGAAGCTATTTCCAGACTCAGAATCCCAAACGGACATCGATAGCATTGAAATGCACTTCAACCCAAATTTATAAAATTCTTCCAAAAATGCTAACTTCCACAATATGTGCTGAAATGTTCCCGGGTCTTCCAAAACTCGATCTGGACATACGCCCAAGTCCGAAATCATCATACGAACCTGCTGGAAGCTTCAAATCCCAATTTCAAGGTCATTTACTCACCAATCTTAGTCAATTCTTTCAACTTAAAGCTTCCGAAATAAGGATTCTCCTTCCAAATCAACTCCGAACTTCCCAAAATTCAATTTCGACAATGCGTACAAGTCATAATACCTGAAGTCAAGCTGCTCATGGCCTCAAACTGTTGAACGATGCACTAGAGCTCAAAACGACCGGTCGGGTCGTTACAGAAGCTTAAGTTGGAAAAATTGACCGAAAGTTGACTTATGTGAAAACAACTTCGGATTTGAATTTTGATGGTTCCTTTAGCTCCGTTAGGTGATTTTGGACTTAGGAGCACGTCCGGAATGTGATGTAACGACCCGACTGGTCATTTTGCTTTCTAGAACCCCGTCCCCCTAAATAAGACTTCCTGTACTTTCTTTTATTGATTTATGCTTGCGGGGATGGTTGGTTCGGGACTTGGAAGAGTTTGGGTTGAAATCGGAATACTTGGTTCCTTAAGGTTTGCTTAAAAGGCCAAGTTTGACTTCGGTCAAAATTTTGAGTAAACGACCTCGGAATTGGGATTTGACCATTCCAATAGGTTCGTATAATGATTTAGGACTTGGACGTATGCCCAGATTGGGTTTTGGATAACCCGGAAGCATTTCGGCGCATAATAGTGAAAAATTGGTTCTTGAATATTTTAGTTCTTTAGATTTTGGTTTAGAGTGGGTTTTGGTGATATTGAGGTCCAAACAGAATTTCGAGATTAGGAATAGATCTGTAATGTCATTTAAGACTTGCACGCAAAATTTGGTATCATTCTAAGTAGTATAAGTACATTTCGACACAATGGAGGTAGATTGAAGAACTTGAAGTTCATAAGTTTAATTCAATTGGTTTTAGGGTGTGATTCTTAGTTTTAATGTTGTTTCGGGCATTCAGAGGGTTCGATCGAGTCCGTTTTATTATTCCAAACTTGTCGATATGTTCGGAAGGGGCCTCGGGGGCCCCGAGCGTCAATCGGACAAGGCTCGAGCTAAGTTAAAAATTTGAGAATGAGCTGAAGCTCCAGCTGCTGTCATAATCGCACCTGCGGTTGGCCAGCCGCAAATGCGAGCCCGCAGGTGTGGGAAATGATTCGCAAATGCGGCTAAGGGTGGGCATCCCAAAAACCGCAGATGCGGCCCCTTATCCGCAGAAGCGGAACAGCAGAAGTGGTGGGCCTTCCGCAGAAGTGGACACATGCCCGCAGAAGCGAGACCGCAGATGCGATCAAAGCACCACAAGTGTGGAAATCGTTGAATGCATTGGCCTTCATTTAATACGGGAGTTAGTCATTTTTGACACATTTTACTCCATTGTTGGGCGATTTTGGAGCTTCTTAAGAGGGGTTTTCCACCAAGCTTTTTGAGGTAAGTAATTCCTACTATATGTGAGTTAAATACTTAGATTTTTGGTAGATTGATATGTATAGATTAGTGAACATCATGGGATTTGAGGAAAACCTAGGGTTTGGCAAGAATGAGATTTTTACCACAAAAATCACCATGAAACTTAGTAATAATCATATATCTATGTTCCTTAGGGTATGGGTGACATCTTCCTTCGAAAATTTTCAGAATATGGACAAGTGGACCCGGGGGTAAATTTTAGGGATCTTGCCTATGGGGTTGGGCAATCACCTTAATAGCTAAAATATGAACTTGTGAACCTATAATGATTGGTTTTTACACTACTTGAATAGTTTCGAATTATTCGGCTCCGGTTTGAAGGTTTAAGTGCATTCTTGAGTTGGAAGTAGGCTCGAAATGAGGTAAGTCTTTTTTTAACCTTGTAAGAGGGAAATTTCCCCATAAATGAACTTAAATTAAGGTATGATTAATTGCAGGGGCTACGTACGCACGAAGTGACGAGAGTCTGTACGTAGCTACTATTCCTGTTATGTCCGGGTAGTTCTAGGCTTACACCATATTTTGTGGGCACCGCTACATGATTAAATTTGTTGATCTGCATTGAATGGAACTAAGTTGAAGATGTCATGATTTCAAAGATTTCAAGTAAACTATTATTTTTAAAAGAATTGAGGAAACATTACGTTATATTTATATTTAACCGCGTCGCAAGTATATTTTTCGAGCTGGGTGATTATTTTCACTAATCTCATGGGAGCGGACCGTTCGCCTCGTCAGGTTATTAAATGTATATATGGTTCAGGTCGTTCGACCCTCGACAGTACACAATTTACTTTTATGTTGGATCGGGCCGAACGTCCTCGGTAGTACTTGTGTATGATAATAGAATTGGAACCCCCGTATAATTCGCACTGCAACAAAAAAAGTCTTTTAGCAACAAAAGATAATCCTTTTAGTGGCAATAAAAATAGCTGCAAAATCTTTTACCGGCAATTAATCATTTGTCGTTGAATCCATCGTCGCTAAAGGCTTTAGCAATAAATAGGAGTGCTGGTAAAGCACCAAATTATTGCTGCTAAAGGTCTGACAACTAGTGGCAATTAAAATGACCACTAAAAGTGGTTAAAGGATATTTTAGTTCATACATTTAGGGGCAATCACAATTGCCGGTAAAGACGAACTTAACTGTCGGTTAACAAATATTTTAGTAATGGTAACATCTTTTAGTGGCAACTAAATCTGCATTTTTTGCATTTAATAAATTTTGTTTATGGTTAACAAATATTCAATTTATTGGAGGTAAAAATTTGACCTTTCTAACAGCATTTGCTATAGCCTGAAATGATAAAATAAATACTCTACTTTTATTCATTCTAACAGAATGATAATATTCACTCTACAAAATAATATTTCATCACATATACAAACAAAAATGATAAATTCATAGCTTTTACAGTGTCAACACCAAAAAAGAAGTACACAGCTTGAATGAGCAACTTAATCCGATCTCTCTTCACCTGCTTTGTGACCCTACTTGCTTTCCTGGCCACTTTTCGCAATCCAATCTCTCTTCACCAGCAGAAAAAAGTGTACCTTAATGTACAGAATAAAGCGTAAACTTTATTAAATTTAGTTTATTATGTCTTGAGAACAAATTCACAAATTTGATAGCCTCTGATTCAGTTCATCGGGTTTATCATCTCTTACCTCCAGTTCAAAATATAATTCAAGCAGTGTTCCAATGCTCCAAGAACTTGTCTGACTAGCCTATCAATGTTGGATTTATATTTGTGCCTACCCCAATGAGACTACTTCAGCAGATTCATGGCAATAATTTTTTATAATATAGAAAAAAATCACTACACAATTTAAGTTAGTAGAATATTAATTTGACTCCTAGAATGCTCCAAACAACTAAAGTAAACACACTAAACATTTTAGAGCCACTTAAAAACACTCATTGAAACATCAAAGAAGAGGCGGTATCTAGTGATTTATATCCTCACGAACATATAACGAATTGAAAATTAAATCTACTTAACTCCACTGAGTCAAGCTTTTCATTTTTCTTCTAGGCATTGAAAACTACATGGAAGTTTTAGCAGTAGAAGGTTACAATAGATGTTAAGATTAAATCTGAAAAGCCACCTTAGGAGTTTAAAGCCTAACTATTATACACTATTAACAAACTCTGACAAAAAAGAATCAGAAATAGTGCAGGTAACTACACTGCCAACTTTTTGAAAAAATTTACACATAAACTCCATTGTTCAGCACAGTAAAAATACCTAATTTCGAGATTTATATTCCTAAGTGGCACATTGCGACAAAATATACTAATCAGTAGGCTTTGTTCCAACTCCATTATAAGCATATACTTTCGTTTTCTTTTTAGTAATTTTGATATGTTTATCGACAAAACAAACACAATGAAGTATATTTTAGAGTTTACAAATACTAGAATTCAAATAAATTAGCATGAAAGGTGCAACTGTCAACAAACATATGGTGTATAACTCCAGTTATTAATTCCAAATGACTTAGAATTTGTACAAAAGCTTAGTAATCGATTCAGAAAAGACTAGTGCCTGAATACTTGGTTTGGATTGTTCAGCTTCGAAAAATGCAAACACCATAAAATAATCATCTCACGCTAAGAATGTAGACGCGCAGAACTATTTTCTTTTACCTCATTTTCAAAATAAAAGAAAAACGCATAACTTTGAAAATGAAATAGCTAGAACAACAACAACAATAACAACAACAACGATCCAGTGAGATTGTCACGACCCCAACCCCGATCGTGATGGCGCCCAACACAATGCTAGGCAAGCCCGACCAATTAACATCTCACAATCTCTTTCTTTATAATTCAATACCATTTTTTCGGGATTTAATACCAATTTAATATAAATAGAAGTATGAATTTAACAGATGAAATGTGCGGAAACCATAATCACGAAAAAATCTCTGTAAAACAGCCCACTGATCAGGTGTCACAAGTCTGAGCCTCTAATACAAGGTTTCACCAATCTAATACATAAATATGTATAAAATGCGGAATAATAAGTGGAGATAGAAGGAGAAATCGGGTCTGCGAACGCCATGCAGCTACCTCGATAACTCCGATGAAAACAGAACGGCAGGAAGCTCTATGCCTCAGGAATACCTGTACCTGCACACATGGTGCAGGGAGTAATGTGAATACTCCGACCCAGTGAATAATAACAATAAATAATGGTTGACAGTAACAAATCACGTAAAGTCACTAAGCAGTTCTATATCAAAACAGTAAAATCATTTAAGCAGCAGTGAATGAGGAAATCATGTGAAATTCTTTAAACCATGTAAAACGGATATAATCAGTATAAATCAGCTCCTCAAGCATTTCAGTTCATTTATTCGTTCTTATCCTCATTTCTCAATTCATATATTTCTCACGATAACCGAATCAATAAATATATATACCGCTGCGGCGTGCAGCGCGATCCTTATATCGCTGTGGCGTACAGCCCGATCCATGATAATAATAGTCGACTGCGCTCACTGGGGGTGTGCAAACTCCGGAGGGGCTCCTTCAACCCAAGCGCTATATAATTGTTGCGGCGTGCAGCCCGATCCATATAAGTAATTGTTGCGGCGTGCAGCCCGATCCATAATATGTATAATATATATCTACTGCGGCGCGCAGCCCGATTCATATCATATAAAATATATATCTGCTGCGGCGCGCAGCCCGATCCATATCATATAAAATATTCTCACTATTGGGTCCTCGATCCCTCTCAGTTATTTAAAAATCACAGCCTCTCGGGCATAATGTACGGTCGGGATCTCAGCCCTCATATCTCTTTCTATTTATGATTAACATTTCGAAAATGTGGTTCATATCATTCTTAAATAATTGGAAACATGACTGAGGATATAAATTCTTTAACAAAGTAAGTGAGGAAAACCAGTCAAAAATCCCCTAAGGGTTCTACAGGTCGGCACAAGGCCCCAAGCATGGCAACAAGCCCAATTCGCAATAATAAAGTATATGTCTCAATCAAAAATGTAGTAAAATATCATTCGGCATGGACCAAGTCACAATCCCCATAGCATCACGCTCGTCACACAGCGTGTATCTCAACTAAGTATAGCACCACGTTGTGCAATTCTGGGGTTTCAAACCCTCAGAACATCATTTAAAATCATTACTCACCTCAAACTGGCCAAAACTCTAGCTCGCTATGCCCTTGCCTCTCATATTGGCCTTCATGCGCGTCGAATCTATCCAAAATCAGAACGAATAGGTCACAATATGCTAAGGGATCATAGACCAAGCGAAAACATTCGAAAAATATCAAAAAACCCGAAATTAGCAAAACTCGAGCCCCGGGCCCACGTCTCGGATTCGGTACAGTTTACATTTTCAGAATCCTCATACCCTCACGAGTCTAACCATGTCAAAATTATCCAATTTCGATACCATTTGGTCCTTCAAATCATCATTTTACATTTTTGAAAGGTTTCACAATTTTCTTTCCAAATTCCATCCCAAATCACGAATTAAATGATGAATTCAGTGATAGATTCATGTATTCTAGACAAATCTGAGTTAAAATCACTTACCCCGATGAATTTCTTGAAAACCCTTCGAAAAATCGCCAAAATCCGAGCTCTCTAGGTCAAAATATTAAATAAAACCCAAAACCTCGTATTTATAGGTACCCCCTCAGATTTCAGCTACCGCGGGCCGCACCAAATCGACCGCGGTCCGCACAAACACAGCCGCGGCCGCACAGGCCTTCCTCTGTAGTGACAGGCTTTAGTATTTTGGCCATACCTTTTGCTACAGATGTCCAAATTGCAATATCTATACCTTTCTGGAAACTAGACACGAAGGAATCATCTCAAAATTCCTTGTAGATCAAAAGATATGAGCTTCTGAAGTTTGACCAACGACTAGCGGATCTTCATGACCGCGGCCCGCGGACCATTTTCCGTGCCCAGCACTAAACCACCGTGCCCAACACTAAAACTTCTGCCCCCATCCATTTTCTAAGTTCAGGAATGTCCGGACTCGCTCAAAACTCACCCGAAACACACCCGAGGCCCTCAAACCTCAACCCAAACATACCAACACCTCCCATAACATCATTAATACCTTATCGAGCTTTCGAATCACTCAAAACAACATCAAAACCCCAAATCAACTTCGGATTCAAGCTTAAGAACTTAGAAATTTCAAATTCCACAAACAACGCCAAAACATATCAAATCAGGTCCGATTGACCCCAAATTTTGCACACAAGTCATAAATGACATAACGAAGCTATTACAACTCTCGGAATTTCATTCCGACCTTTATATTAAAATCTCACCTATCAACCGGAAATTGCCGAAATCTCAATTTCGCCAATCCAAGCCTAAACCTTCCACGGACTTCTAATATGCATTTCGATCACGCTCCTAAGTCCCAAATCACCTAACGGAGCTAACCAAATCATAAAAATTCCCATCCGAGATAAAATACACATAAGTCAAATTTTGGTCAAACCTTTCAAATTTAAGGTTTCAAATTGAGAACTGTTCTTCCAAATTCATTCTGATTACCCTGAAAACCAAAACCAACGATTTACATAAGGCATAATGTATACACGGGGCAAGTCATGCCCAAAGACTGGCGATCAAAGTGCAAAAGTTCAAAACGACCGGTCGGGTCGTTACATCCTC